TGGCTGACTACTATTGTCGAGAAAAAGGAACCCGCTGTCAATAAAGCCCTTATTCTTCCACCCAAACTTCATAAGTGGACAAGCATAATATGGCGCAGATCAAGTATAAGACGCGAAAGGAGACCTCTGTCAGGCCCGTTACAGAGGAAGGGGCGATTTCGTACAGTAAGCAGTAAAGCACAATTTCATGATGTCCCAGGAACAAAACTGGATCCCTTAGAGCTCGTTTTTATTCTTGAAAGCTCACCTTAGAGAAGAAGTACCTCGAAATGAATTGCTTGCCATGTCCGCTAGACACGGGCTGGTCACATGGATTCAGTGGAGCACCTGAAAAGAACGGTAAAAGCTGTACCAATCTCCGCTAAATCTCAAAGGATTTCCCTCTTTGAAATATTTCGTGATGGTCTCTCAGGAAACATGAACTGCTTAGACAGGCAAGTCCTAGCAAGGTATGGGCATCGTTGAGAGAACCTTGACGGAGCTCGTGGTCGGTCAATAGGCGAGCGGGGTCGTATCCGGCTCTAAGGGAAATTATCGCGAACAGCGAAAAAAATATTTCTGGATGATGACTTCTCTAGCTTCTTTTACAGTGCGCTGTCTGGCCTCACCCCCGCTCGACGCCAGTTTCGTGGGGAAAACTGATAAAAATTCAAAAAATTGCTGAAAAGTGGGAAGAATTTAAGATGACGGTAGCTAGATGCGGGAGGGGTTGCCTGGATGAGCACGTAGGTGAGGGCGGGGTCGTAGTGACGCTGCCATTTCGTTCATCCCTACGCTGACTCCCTGGACCTAAGCCAGGTACTAACCAGGTGAATTCAGGTGATATCAAACTCTGCGGCTGCAAAAAGCCGGGTACAGACAAGGATATGCGAACTGCAGTGACGCAGTTCAGAAAATGGTGCAGTTGGCATCGTGGGCGCGGCATTCGCACCAGGACCTATTAGGCCTGAAGCGAGACTGATACAGTAAGGTGAGCCAAACAGCCAGGAAATGCCCAACCAAGCTAGTTCCTCCGGTCCCCTGAGATCCGGACCTACGAACGCGCATGTGAATCGCACATTACTTGCCCTTCAGGAAACGCTATATCGCTTACTGTGGAGAAGGAAGTAGAGGGAAACCTCCGATCGATTCACACACAAGCAGAGCGGCTGTGAAATAAGTCAGGATCGGCCAGAAAAAAATCAGTTGAAAGAAGTGAAGGAAAAATGAAATGGAGTGAAAACCAGTCAGTAATTCAATCAGATAGAAACACCAGCAGACAACTAAAAATAGAAAAATATGGAAAAACCAAAAAAGAGGGGCGCTCACGTAGTTGGGGACCACTCGGTGACGTCTCTTAAGCTCTTCTCCCAATCAGTCTTGATAGAGAATATGTTGCCTCTATCACTCGGCGACTCTGGTCGTCTGCACTCCGAGCTCAGGTCTTGGTTAGGTGAAGGGACACAGAGTCGTGACCGAGTGGTCCACACCAAACTACGTTAGCGCCGAAATAGATAAACAACACAAAAACAGAGGCCGTACATGCTGTTTCACAGTCGTTTCTTGAAAGGAAGTTGTTCTGATTTCCACCGTAACCGTGATAGATGAAGGAGACACACGTTGACGTTATCGCGTCATACGACCAACGATGACCGCTTTCAAGACCATAACCGGCGTCTTGAGCAAGCAAACATTCTGAAGTCATGCTAGTTCAGAAGACAGTAGTAACAACAAGAGAAGCACCATAGATATTCGGAGGAAGGTCAACCGTGATCCTAACGAAAAGAAGGTAGAGAAAAGGAAAAGAAAACACGGCAAACTCCGTGTCTGTAAACTCGTGGTTGAGCGCGCCATGCCCTCCTTGGGGAGTCTTGTGTACGGTATGAACTGTGAGGGCGAGCAGAGACCGCAGCGCGTCCATTTCGTAGAACTTCACCCATCAATCGCCGAAGTATGACCATCAATCATAATTGATAAGAAACGATATGATGTCTTAGACGGAGGTATTTTTCCCTGTCCCAGATTAACACAACACAAAAAATTTCCATTCGCTGAAGATTTCGGAGCTTTGAAAATAATTGAAAATGGCTAAAACAATACTGGGCTTCGCGACGCTAAATAACACTGAATCAGCTCAATTGCCCGAACTAATATAATTATGTAATACAATAGAATGAGTAGAAATAGCGTTCCAACTCTGGTCGTAACAGAATCGGCCACCGGATGCTTTATCGACTTGGTTGGGTCTGGACAGCAAACCGCGCTGTAATTTCCGTGAGTTTTGCAAACAGTTCCTCCTGGACAGGATGACGGTAGGGAAGGGGAGCAGCTGAAAAGAATGGTAAACTTGGGCGGCGATGCCACTGAATCCTTAATAAATGCTTCGCTGCTATTTCGCCTGATATAACTGCGATGCTGAGCCCAAGGTAGACAAACTGACAGTGCAGCCGCTCAGTTTTTCGCACATTAAGATGCTAAAAGTCTGCGCACTCTTACCTGTGGCTGTCACCAATCGACGGCACGGGAGTTCCCTCATCGCAAGGATTCTGATTTTTGCACGTGGCTTCACATTCATCGAGACTTTCAAAGTTGTTTTGATTGCCCTGAAAATCAATCACAAATTTTTAAGCGTCCAAAAATCTCGGAGGTTGGCGCTGAAACTATTTTCTCAGACCTGAAATCCACGGAAGACGAATAAATAGCATTGCTGTGAAGACCGTTCATAGTGCCATCGAAGGAAGCGACGATGGCCCAACACCAGGACGTAGAGGTTGATCACATTGCGGCTCGGCTGTATCGGAATAGTTTAGTATGGAATGAAGAATCAGGATTTGAACGAGAGGCCACGTTCAACGCAACATTCCATTCCGACCGTATGGGATGGGCCACGATCACACATTGTGCTTTTCCTTCGGGAGCCCTCTACTTTACATTTGAAGAATAAGGCGCACCAGCTTAGTAAGGCATATTGTCCCGTCATGTTCCCTTCCCGTAGCACTAGCGAGAATGCTCTTCTAGTGGGCCCTGAGTGAATTAGGTCAAAAAAAGTTGCTCGTTTACTCGAAAAAAACAAATAAGTCAATAAAGAGAATTTGCAGGTTAATCCGGATTCCTCTGAGCACGTCAGATACGAGCTAGAGGAATGGCACGATTACTGGAAGCGGACGGTTGCCAGCGTCGTTGGTGGAATAGAGTTAGCCACACCCCTGCAAAGCACAAGGCAATTTTGACCGAACGCCCTTCGTCAGCTCTTCTACCAGTGACGCTGGCAGCAACGGCCCGCCTACCAGCAATCGTGCCCACTGCCTTCAAAAGGGAATCGAGACCTGCCCGTTTTCAGCCGCAACTGCGCCAAGCCTTGTTTCCCAGAGCTAAAACTACTGAACTGAGCGTAATGCTACGCTTTGCATGGCAACAGTATCTATGGCAGTCGAACAGAGGTATTTCAGTAAAAACTCACGTAATATCGGACAGCAGATGCTCTGCGCATCTCCAACTTGACAGAAAGTTCCCGCGGGACAGGTGACGTCCTCCAGTACACACATGATCACCACTTCACCGTACATGGGCGAATGACACGGTGAAACATCAGTGACAACATTCTGAAATTCCAAAATTCGTGAAGACTCCCGTTTCCCAATCTGCCGATTCTATGAGAGAATCTCTTCTGAGTGAACGGCTAGTTCGCCCTGATCATATTACTGTGGCTCCCTTTAATGCGTGCTCCTCTTTTCATGAACGATAAGATGAAGAGCGTATTAATGTAGAAAGCACAGTAACTGACTGTCTCTCCCCATGCCCCATAAATGATCAACGTGGACCCTTGACTACAAACAGTACATTCACCCGATGTAGCGTTCCTTTCCATGTGCGAATGGGTCCGCAGCTGCAGTACTGTGCCACCTTCTCCGGTCAAAACTGCATGAGAGCCGGGATGAAGCGAAGTGCGGGTGCAATGGGGTACGGCCTCCGGGTATCGCTACTCTTCCTTCCCGTTTCCGTGCACATTTGAGCGAAGAAAGTGGCACATTGAAGCAGCTGCGGACCCCTTCACCCCACAAATGGCAAGGACCAGGATCCGTGGAGTTTGGAGGTGAATAGTGTGTCTCAAAGGAAACAAGGGCATTATTGAGAAAAAACCTACCGTTTGGTTTAGCGTCAGTCCTTGCTTCGGTATACCTTGAGCTCCAAGAGAGATTACCGACTGTACGCTCACGTCACTTGGTAATGAGTGCGATTTCGCCTGTGTTTGATACTGCAGGAGTTCTTGTAAACCTGCGGATAAGTCCTGTGGCTTTATAAGGTTCGCAAATTGTAGCTGCGTCTCCTTCAGTAGCCTTTGCGGGTTGAGGAGGAGTAACCGTCGCGGCCAAGTTTTTTTCGAGTATGTGCTGAAAGGCCTCTACCCCATTTTTGATCCATTGAGGATCCGGAGTTGAAGCGGCCTTCTGATCCGGAGCTGCACTAGCCTTCTGATGAGACGAGAACTGGTTCCCATAGATACCGTCAACGGTCACGGCACCGTTTTTGCCATACTGATAGGCATTGGGGGATCCCGGTACCGAATGTAGTCCAGGATTAGAGATATAGTACATTGGTAGTGTTGACGGTTGAAAGGGTTGAACAAGCTTAACAGGAACAGGTGCTTCAGGTAGTCGTGGAGGCTCGGGCTTCTGGATCTCCTTTGCCGCTCCAGGAGTAACCACCTGCAACGACCCGAGGACCAATGCTGGCTGGCCAACGGGAGGTATCTGAGTTGGTACAGGCAATACAGCCTCGACACTTCCTTGGTTACTCCATTTGGGTGAGGCTATCAAGTCAGGGAACTTCTCTGCACTTCCTGACAATACGGTCTCGGCACTTCCTTGACTACTCCATTTCGGAGAAGCTATCAGGTCAGGGAACTTTCCCAGCGCCTCCCAGGTGTGCTGTAGGATCGGGGGAGGCAACGTGAGGGGTTTCACTGGAGCTCATAAGATGTTCGAAGATGAAATTGAAGTGTTCGCTGCTGATTTGTGGAGGTTCCGGTGTCGTTTTGGGAAACTTTCCGCCTTTGGATGGAGGAACCAGCGTCACCTGTGGAAACGGCGGCACGAACTCTGAAACAGTAAAGTTCAATGAATAGAAAGGGCTAATCTCTAGACTGTTGTCACCTTTGGGAATGCTGATAAGGGTGGGATATGAATCCGGAGTTGTCTCTTCAATAGAAGATGTGTAAGGGCCTTCCGCTGATGAAGTTTGACCAGAAGCTGTAGACACAAATATGATTTCGGCTGACTGCTCCGACGATGGAGAAACTGGTGCTGGCATGGTGGCTGTGGAAGAAGGAGGAATTGGTGCAGACGTGGTGGTTGTGGTAGAAGGAGAAGCTGAAATTTGAAGCGTAGCTATCATATAGTTGGATCAGTTGCCACTGCAGGAGCAAACGCCTGCGCATGAAATGTAAAAGGGACAAATCATAGGCTTACTAGTAGTGGCTTCAGAGGAGTGAAATTCTTGGAATATTCTCGTCGCTGGCCGCGTTCCTATCGTGGAGGTGGCAACAGCCGCTGTGCTTTGTTTCTTGTTCTTCTCTGCAATTTAAGCTTTCAGTAAGCACAAGTTTTATTACAGAAGAGATAGTCCAGTTATGGTAACATACCAGAACCTTACTCTTCCTGTTTACTTTTGACCATTGCCATTCAGCGATCAAAGTCAATTTAGCGTAATTTTTTGAGAAAAAAAAACAGCGAAGAAACAGAATGGTAAACAAACTGCCAAGACAAAGACGCTCGCATTTGGCTTTCTTTAGAAATCGATTCCCATTTCCTCCATCGCCGGAATAATAGAATAGCTCGCATTGCTTCGCAGTCTATAAAAAGATTTGGAAGTCAACGCCAAAATCTCCTGAAAATTTACGCTTGGGTTTACTTTGGCTAAGGAACTGGGCGCTGTTGGACTCAAATGGTAGTCCACTTTTCACTTTCGCTGGTTCACTTTGGTGATACCTGTGAGCACCCACACCTTATGAAGCTGTGAAGTGACACAACTGAGTTTGTTAGAAACTTCGCTGGATGCATATGAACCAAAAAAACGCTCACAATCGTCTCTGGGGGAGCTTTTATTCTATGAGTATGAGTACCGCAACCACCCCGAAAGCCCGAGGAACTCAACTTAATGCTCGAGTGCGAAGGACCAATGTCCCCTCAAGGTCGAATTCTTAGCCATTTCGCGAATTTGGTATGAACTTGGAAAGTTAGCGCAATTAATAGTGCCAACTTAGGGCGCCGTTCGCCTTGGAGGGGCACCGAGTGCACAAGCCGCCCTGTGAAGACCTTTTAGTTCCTGTGACCAAAGTAGCTCACCACCACCATCTCGCAGCTTCACGAGTTCACAAGTATCACCACAGTGAGACTTGTTATTTAACAGGAATTAGCAAGAGGAACTAACGAAGTGCAAAATGCCCTCTCCAGGCCAAACAGTGCTCGAATGTTATACCCTCAGAATTTTCGAAGCAATGAACTAATTACCAAGAAGATGCTTCTTTGTGAAACTGAGTTATGTTAGAAACCTACCTTATCAAAATAGTACCGCGGTATTTTAAAGGTTCCGTTTCCGAATTGTGAAGGCAGCTCACATGAAGCACGAGTGGGTTTTCCTAGAATGTTCGATATGGTGCCAAGAATGTTCTGAAGACGCAGTCCACGCTGATCGTATGGGCGGAGTCAGGCCTATTCATCAACCCCCCTCATTGGCGTGCAGCTTCTCTACGAGTGAAGACGGGGCAGACCCGATGAAAAGGCACAACTGTGGGTCCGACTCCACCCCTACAATCAGCATGCACTGCTCATCAAAATGGAATGATATAAAAAAACTAATAAAACATCGAAAGCCTGGATGAAAAAACAAGGCAGTAGAAGAATTATTCACCGCTTCCACAGGTTCGCATACAGGTTTCGGAATCAACAAATCGGTTCGCATTGCCACCAGTACCAAGAAAGACAAATGGAGCACACGTCATTACTGATTCGTCGAAATGCCACCTGAATTTGAACGTTTCAACATCCTGCCTCCACAGGGCTATTCGGTATCTCCGCCCATACGTCCAACGTGGACTGAGCTTTGCCTTACATTTGCAAAAAAATAATCAAAAGAGAGACTCACATTTTTTGAGCAACACCTCCAGGAGTTCCAGCATGTGGAGGTAACTCACACGGATTTTCGTTTTGCCAGAGAATCGTTGCTTGTATCGTCTCGTGACTACTTTCAATCGATTCAGTGCTCCACAGTTGTTCAGAGGTATCCACAGAAGGCACCGTTGTTACCTCAGCCGAAGTCGTTTGCAAGCCTCAATTATCATAGTAAAACGTGCGAAATTCTGTGAGCTCTGACCTGGTATACATTCAAAAACTGAGCCCTTTGGTACACTTAGCCCACTTTTCCCCCGTTTCAGGGCTGCTTTGGAACCGACTTATGAATTTTCGCCAGCGGCACAGCTCATTTTCGGTGCGCTTTTGGAACGCCCCGCCCACTGTGGGAGGGGCTCGGCATAGGTTACATGTGATATGTACATCTTGTTATCGTTATCCATCCCAACCTTTACCAAACTCTCCAAGTTACTTTTCACGTAGAACAGGATTTCCGGACAAACAAACAAACAAACAAACTGAAACAAATAAACAAGCGCAGAAAATTATATATAGTAGTAGAACGAAGAGAAACCTGTGGTGGAGAACGACGTGGTTGATGAGGGCAGCTCAACTTCTACTTTCTCCTGTGATCCAGACGACTCCACACTGCTCTGATTTTTACCATTGCTGGGCTAAATCGAGCCATTGTCATCAAAACCAACAATAATTGGTGATAAAAAGATGGCAAACCTCATTCGTTGACAATGAAATTGGCGAAGGCATTGTTGTCGTTGTTGTAGTCAACGGTTTTTTGGTCAGCTTTTGGTTCTTCGGTACTTTGACGCCCTCTGGAGGATTTGCTGTTGGCTCACCTGCTCCTAAAAGGTTACTTGTCAATGAAGGACAAACTTTGATAGTTCTGGCATTCTCACGGTTCCCTCGATGGTCCGAGGTACAGTACACGTTGATCGCATGCATGGGGTCCAGCCAAGGAATTGAGCTCTCGTCATTATTGCCCCCTCCTTCCTGGATGATGTCGCTGGAAGGTGCAGGGCTCGGCTTGACCCTGACCATGCCATCTTAGTGGACTATGCCTCTAACCAAAGCGGATTCAATAGTGAGCGACAGCAATTCGAGGCTCATTTAGGCCGTCTGTCTTTATAATTCGAATTGAATTACGACAAGAAAGCTGGAAGTACCCATTGCGTTCTCCTGTTCAGGCACTTGTCTTGTCTAATCTGCACTTATCTTTCCTGCCCCTTCTTCGTCAAGCATGACCACTTGTGCTTTCCAGCTGACGTGCCTTTACAAGGGTAACAAATTAAATCACACTTACATGGGTTCAGCATGAAGGCACAGTCCACTCTGGTTTCAAGGGCGTGGTCAGGCCTAAGACTGTGCCGTCTCCACTGGTTCAATCTTCTTCACACCGGTTTCAAAAAGGAAGAGGTTCTAACTTAGTTGAGGGCAGCGATGTGGTTGCTCACCTGCGTCCTTTCCCCTAACCAAGGTTCAGACCCAGAGCGCACACGATCAGGGTCGCCGGGGGACACTTCAATTTCCTGGTCTTCTCTGCGCCCTCTCACCCTCACTGCATTCTGTGATCACTGCGACCTCAAATATTTCAACCTCCACATATGATGGGTAGTTCACACACTTTCAGAGTCCCTTCCCCTAGAAAAGCCCAGCCCCGGCGTTCCTCCATGCCCTTCATTACTTTGGCTGTCATAATCCTCTGTCTATCTGTGCTATCTTTACGCGGCTCTAATCGTCTACGTGGTGAGCTAAATTTTGATTAGGAGAAGAAACACAGAGGCAATGGTGCGTAGCTCCATTGAATAACCTTAGCAGCGGTAGCAGCACCAATGTGGAAGACGCAATGTTAGGCCTGACTGAGTCCATGCGACTTTAAATACCCATTTCCTACTGGTGGTCATTTACAGAGTCAGGGCAATGTGTACTTATGGAATTAAATAAAAAAGAACAGACGAAGTCCTGCTGAGAACTCGAAAAAAAGAATAAATGAATTCTAGCACATGAAACAACTTACCCCTGCAGGCCTCCTCGCATTCTTCATACGTCATGAAACTGTTCTCGTTGCCGCCAATTCCAGTGTAGTGCAGCTCGTGGCAGCCGTCACTGGCCCAATCGTAGTAGAATCGCCGCATTGTGAGCGTTCCATGGCCGGTTGATGGTGCCAAATGGCAGCGGTTCCGAACTGAAAACAACTTCAAGACGATTTTTTCTGGCAGTTGCACTTGATTACTAATAGTTCTAGGCTATTGGGCCCCTGGATGTTGTAAGGAACTCAAACTGCGGTTTAGAAGATGACCTAGTGCGTTGAGGCCTTTGGGTGTGGAGCACCTCTGAGGGCCCTAGCGAGAACTGCGACGGGGAGGCCAGCAGAACTCCCCACAGCAGCTAAGAGATCGGATGTTGTCCAGAAAGTCCATACTGTGGCGTTGTGAGTGACATCATGAGCGCGGCATTCGCACCACGACCTAAGTATGGCCTGAATGGTACATTGGTCCAGTAACTAGGGACTATTAGCTAGTTTGTACCTGTCACCGCAATGAGGAGGACTCTTGGCGCCGCCCCCACCCCCTCTAAGAAATCTTTGAGATCCAGATTATTCTATCCTGCCCCATCCCACCGCCCCCCCCCCACCCTTCCAGTTGCGATGGTGATATCAGCAAAAGAACTTACACTTTTCTGTTTCTTGGACAGCAATAGTAGCTGGACTCGTCGTCGCCTTCGTGACACCAAAAGCTCGCCGGACATCTGCAGAAAGTAAATGTTGAAGAAAAATTCGCCTGCGACCTTGACACTTCAATCAAACAAATCGCAAGAACGTGATGATTGCACGTGGAACCCACTTGTGTTCGGGAAGCCACGGACGCGGTTGACAGGGCCGAGGCCGGTGGTCCTCCATCAGCAATGGAATCCCGTCAGCACACAGCAGAGAGTAGTCTGAACCATCCGACTATCTTTCATGGCTAATCACCTCATATTTTTTCATGGCTACTGCAGGATGCAGGGGAATAGGGCCGCTAAGAGACAGCGGGAAAAGACAGCGTTTCTCCTTCATAAATGTCCATTACGAGGGATGGGGAGGCCATAGAGAATAGTGGGAAGCGAGGCTGATTTTTTGAGTTCCATGCAAACGACAAGGCAGCTGTACAATCAAAAAATTACAGTTTCCTTGAAAATCGGAGCTAGATGTGGTAGGGTGTATTGGCCGGTAGAGTGAATTCACCGCAGTGGAAAAGCCTTGCTAGAGCGGAGAGCCTTTCTCGCATCATTTTCTTCGCATGCTTCAGCTTGGGTAGTAGTGAACGTCTTCGTTGAATTGATTTCACTGCGGAAGAAAACTGAATCAAAAGGACTTACCGTGTGGAAAAACACACCGGCTCAAAGAGCACATATGGAGTTTTTTGAAATTGGTGCGGGAGAGGGGGGGGGGGGGGGGCGGGCTGTCGGGGAAACTTTGGCAAAATCCAATCCTTCCCTCAAAAAGCTCCCCTCAGTTACGTTCCCTCCCCTTCCCATCCTCCATCCTTCCCACCACTTTCCGCTATTCCCTAATATTCCGCGGAAATTCTCCATTTTTCCCCTAGAAGCTACCATCGAACTAGTCTGGCCTGACTCTTCGAGCTCCTACTTTACGCACCTATCCACTTGAAAGCTGTAAAAAGAACGCATCAATGGGGAGTACACAATGAATCACCTGACCACCCCTATATCTCTACAGTGGAAATACTCTAAAACTTATGCACAGCTCCCGCTCCCACGAACGTGTATAGGACAGACTGTAGACAAACCGTCGTAGTTGACTGAAGTGACGACACGAGGTTTCACTAGAAAATCAGCCACTGCTGCACCATTCAGAAGAAGAACGACGCATAACAGCGACGGCATAGAGGCGCAGTAGCCGAGCCGGACGTCGAGCTCGAACGTCTTCTCTCCTTGGACTAACCATAAGATCAAGAGGGATTCCGTTTACGAATGCAGAATAACGACAATCAAGGCTCATGGCGAAAAATAGCGTAAAGGATAGGATACAGTGAAAAAAGTTAAATTCGAGATGAAGCGACGAGCTAGTTCATTTTAGAATGATGCGCTCAACTGGACTGGAAAAGTTGCATTCGACTGCAGAAAGCACGAACGTACACTGGATCCGAAGTTAAAGGCAGTTGGTACGATATTTTGTTAATTGGCCTAAAATGCTCCTGCGAAGAAAAACCTTCGTCCTTAATGACAATTTCGGACGAGTTTTCCGTAGACATCTTGCCAATAACCGCTACGGTGGGTACGGCTGCATGTACGTTCCCATATATCCATGCAGCACCGCAGCCACTTCATACCAATCTCTTCGCTTCATATTTTACT